CCCCTTTCAACAAACAACCTGACTTGAAGCAAAAAAACAAAGAGGCCAGATGTGGACACTGCTGCTGAACCTGCCTGCCAAAGAAAATAAAAATAAATCTTTCGGTGGACTTTTTCCATGCCTAGGGTACCCTGGGCATAGCCCCACCCCTGGCGGGTTGCCCGGGGGCACACCCTGACCGGTTGTGCCCAGCCGATTGCCTTGGGAAATCTAGCTGGAGGATATACTATATTCAATATTCGCTACAAGCCTACAACATAAACAAGGGGGTGAAATTACACCTTTATGTAACCAGCTGATTTCGAGTCCTCTCTGAACTGTAAAATATTCTAATTTCTTGGCATCCAGCTGATTTCGAGTCCTCTCTGAACTGTAAAATATTCTAATTTCTTGGCATGGGGAACCCAGGAAAACGGCTGCCAATGATGGCAGTTGTAACTTGTAAGGATGCCAGGAGGGTAAAATGTATTTTTCGGCAAGAGAAACTTCAAAAAAGTCACAAGAAACATGGAAAGAAATTTGTAACTTGACAATCTGTAATGATGCCAGAGGGTAAAATTTTGAAGCAAGGAAGCAAGCAAATCATCAGACCTGCAGAACGGATTGGCCCCAATTGTTTGGGATCGACCTGTGCATGCTAACTACATTGAAAGTTGAAAGTTGAAAGTTGAAACCACCTCTGCACACGAAGCGAAGTCGTTGAGCTCCGTTTCCCACCTGACTCTGGCGGTTAAGACTCATGCGGTTGGGGGCTTACGGAGGGCTGCCAGCCAGCTTATTCTGCCTGGCAAGCAGAATTTGCAGAATGGCCCGTGCACTGGTGTCCTTTTGTGTGCTGGTGCTATCCCGTCTGGCTGTGGTGACGCAGTGATGGCTGATGGTTTCTCCAGCCATAGCAGATTGCGATTCGTCAAAAAGATGCAGTTGTTAATACTGTGCCCAGTTTCACTCCCCCGGTGACCCCCCCACCCCCCAAAGAAAAAAACAAAACGAAATTCAATTTAATAACTAGCAGATATGGGGGTAGGGGTCCCCCACATTGCACCGGGAAACTGTGGCCAGTTTTGGATGTCATGGGGATTCTAGTTCTGTGGTGACACGTGGCCAGGAATGCCCAGGCGAGCCCAGGGCAACGGCCTGAGAAAACTGTGGCCCAAAAAGAGGCAAGGATCAAACAGAAAAGAAAATTCTAAAAAATAAATAAATAGAAGCATGGTTGCATCCCTGCCGACCGCCGACCCCGACCACCGACCGTATTGCAGCCGACCGGTAGGGCCGACCGGTCGGCGGTCTGCTGACCAGTCAGAAAACAACCATCCACTAATTGTTTTTCAGATCTGAGTTGGAAGCTGCACCGTGCTTGCTGAGTACAGCCCAAATCCGCTGAGAAACTTTTGGGGATGGGGGAGTTGGGACTGGGGTGTATAGGGGGATGTAGGGGGGCAGAGGGGGGTTTAGGGGGTATTGGGGGGGGTTTTTGGGGGTGTTGGGGGCGGGTTCGGGGTGTTGGGGGGGGTGTATGGGGGTATTTGGGGTTGGTATGGGGATGTTCATGGGGTTATTAGGGGTTCTGGACCCGATTTTTTTTTTTTTTTGCGTGGTGCCGCCGACCCCCGACGTGTAGGTGCCGACCAGTCAAGGGTCGCCGACGGTCGGGGTGTGCAACACTGCAGGGGGTGCTATTTTTAATTTGATTTTGAAATAAACACCAGGACGTCGGAGGCTTTTTTTTGTCCCGTGGTAGATGTCCACTGCGCACCAAAATAAAAGGAGTCGCCACAAACACGTTTTCGTTTTTGTTCCGGCTGGCGACCGCCAGCCATTTTGTTCTGTGGCACTGTTTATCCGAAAAGCCCGTGGGGGAGAAATTGGGCGGCCCGTGGTGGACAAGTGAGTCACAAAAGTTGCCCGGCAGAGGGGCTGGTGTTTTAATAAAACTTTTAATTTATTGTATTTTTTATTTTATTTTATTGTATTTACTTTTTTTGTTTTGTTGTCGTTTTAGTGTTGTCTATCTCAGTTGGTAAGGCACGCAAGTGGCATTCAGGAGGTCTTGGGTTCAATCCCCACTGGCCTTATAATAGGCTTATATATACCTTCCTGGGCATGTTTGGCGCCCGCCACACCTAGAGATAGCCCGTTGGTCCCTCCATTTGGCAATAAAAAGCAGTCTCTGCCGGTGTTCATAGGGGGAGGGAGGGGTAATCGCGGAGGCATAGCGACTTATGCCACTCAGATGGTGCTCAGCCCTTCTGCTACTGGCTGTCCCCTGGTTGGTCTGGCCCCCCCCCCCCCCTTGGGGGTTTCCTGAAGGCAATAAATAAAGGCCACGCTGGGCTGCTGGAAAGGCCACCCGGTGTCAGATTAGACACAAGATTGAATTTACCTGGGCTGGTTGGTTCCGATGATAATACCTCAAGGCCATCGCCCTTTAAAAGAAATAGAAGAAAAAAAGGAAAAAACGTTTTTCTCTAATGCAAGGAGTGTGCTATTTGGTCATTCAACTTCATTGTTGAGGTCTACGTAGGGAATAAATAAATAGTACGAGTATAAATAACGAGTATAGTTTTTACTTATTTTTATTTATATATGACTCTATAATTATATGAGTATATAGTCGTAATAAGAATAGTAGTACTATAGTGTCCTTCGGGACATCCGTTAAAACTGGAACGATATAGAGAAGATTAGCTTGGCCCCTGCACAAGGATGACATGCATAAATTGAGAAATGGTCCAAAAATAAACGGGCGCACAAGATGCGGGAGAGAGAGTGAGATTGCCCAATCTAACTAACTACGTGCCCCCCCCCCCCCACGATCAAATGTAGTATCTGCTATGATCAGTTGCGA